CCCCCCCCCCCATCTCTTCCCATCTTTTCTCTCATCCACAATGCTCTCGCCGCGGGTGGCCGGTCTTTTGCGCGGCAGGGCGAACGAGCCTGCGATTTGTTCTTCGTGGTCCGCGGCCAGTTGAGCGGCTTGGTGGAAACCAAGACCGAGCCCTTTACAATTGTTTCGGTGAGCGCCCGTCACTAGAGCGTACCAGTTCAAAAGACCCAACAAAGGCTGCACATTTGCGTTTTCTGCGATCTTGCATTCACCTGGGCCCTGGACATTTTCGAACTTTTGCGGCCGTTAGTACTCGGGAGGTGATTTTGCCGGCGAGCTGTCCGTCTTAAGCGATTCAGAGGCTTTTTTGACGGTTCGCGCCACTCGGCGCAGCTTGTTGCTTCGCATCCCCCGCCAACACGTCATTGATGCCATTGGCACACCAGCAGGACGCCCGGCTCTGGATGCCTTGATCCGCGTAAGCTGCGCGTTGCCGTTTGTGTCCAGCCCTCTTGGCCTTTGACTTCATGCGGCGCATGTTCGTGCATACAAGAACCCGCCCCAGCTGATTGGTGGAACGCATGTACAGACTACGCTGCGAATTCTCTCGCCTTTGGTGCGCCAAGTGGATTTTGCCCTGGATTGGATGCACTTGGACGCTGGCGAGCGCCTCTACCAGCAGAACGATCCCTCCGATGTGGTTTATCTTCTCTTGAGCGGTCGCGTACGATCGGTGATTACGGTAGGCACAAGTGCCGCCAGTGGAGCCCGACCTGATTCCACTCCCTGTGACAGAACATTTGCATGCATTTGGTTGCTGTGTCCTTCACGGTGCCCAACCCGCGCTTTTGCTCAATAGCGTCCGGATGGCAGTAAAGCCATCATGCGCGAGTATGGTCGCCATGAGCTCGTGGGTGAGCTTGAGGTATTGACCGAGACGCCACGTGCAACTACCATTCATGCCGTGCGCGATGCCGAGCTGGCAAAGATCCCCGCGGGTTTGCTGCACCTGGTCAAGCACAAACATCCGCATGTGGCCACACATCTGATGCGCATGCTCTCCGAGCGCTTGTTGGGACTGGTCAAGGGTGTAGAGCTAGAGAGCACCGACCCCAATTTGACCACCGTGGCCTTGTTGCCCACCTCGCCCACCGTGCCATTGTCCTTGTTTGCTGAGCGACTGCGTCGCGCTTTGGGCCTGTATGGTGAAACCCTCCACCTCAACGCTGCCATTGTCAAGGAACAATTTGGCATGCATCCCTGCACCATTCGTGGCTCGCAGGAATATTCCTTTGTCCGGTGCGAGGCAGCTGTCAACCCTCTCCCTTCCCCTCCTTGTTCTACTCCACCTTGTTCTGCTTGAAGGAAGGCGCGCATCTCCGCTCTCACCGTGCTCCGGCTTTGGTGGGGTCCTGTTACTTGCTTAGATGGCTGGCATCACAAGAAGATCGGCATAGCGTTGTGCTATATGAGGCCGACTACGAGCTGAACGACTGGACGCGTCGCTGCATTCGGCAAGCCGACTGTGTGCTTATTGTCGGCGTGGGACATGAAACCCCTTCCGTGGGTCCAGCCGAATCGGAGGTGAGTGGCACTTTGTTTTGGCAGCGCTTCTTTGCTTGGCGTCCTTCGTGTTTTTGGCATGGTGTGCACCTGATCGGCTTGTGCGCACATCCCGACGGTCTCACAATCCATGTTCCGGGCCGCACCAGCTGGAGAACGTGGCGGCCAAGGCACAAAAAGAGCTGGTCCTCCTGCACCGTGATGACACGTTCATGCCAAAGCGTACGGCCGATTGGCTGAACGCCCGCACTTGGTGTTCGCGCCATCATCACATCCGTTGCGATGATGACATCTTACCCAAGGAAAAAACCTTGAACCGCAAGCGTGTCCAACTTCTCGAATACGTGCTCGGGCCCAACCAGATGCCAGAAGACGTCTTTGACTACGACTCAGACGAGGAGCGAGACAAATCGCAAGCCACACCCGAGGCCCCCACACGCAAGCAGCCGCGGCCTATTGGGCCGAGCCGCTTCACGCTCATTGAACGCAGCGATTTTGGACGCCTTGCTCGTCATCTCTCGGGTCATTCTATCGGATTGGTTCTTGGCGGCGGCGGTGCACGTGGCGCGGTATGACACGCACGCATGAGTCGGCCGTGCTTCAAGTGTCATGCGTGTTAGCTCTGGCCCTCACAGTCAAAATGTTCTGTTTTGTGTGTTTCTTGTTTCATTGTTTTCTACTCGTTATCTCGCAAATGTCATTTAAAACCCACAGGCGGAGCTGGGCGTGATAAAGCAATTGGAAGAAGCAGGTCAGCTTTGATATACTGAACGTGGAATGCTTGGTTGTGGCTCGCCCGTCATGGAATGCATTTACCAGTGACCTTACCGAATCGTTTGTGTGACGTAGGTATACCCATCGACATTGTCGGCGGCACCTCCATCGGCTCGCTTATGGCTGCGCTTTATGCAGAAGAACTGGTTGGTAATTGCAAGGGCTGTCAAACCGACCCCACTGTTCAGTGCCAGCCGTCGATGTAGTGCTGGGCGTGCAGCATGCTTGCCGCCTCAACGAACTGCTTGCTCTTTGCCTCGGCGCCGATTTAACTCATGTGCATAGAACTATGCTGATATGAAGCAGCGGTTCGATGATTTTACCACAACCATGGGTTCACAGGTGAACATGGCTTTGGATTTGACCTACCCAGTCGTGGCCATGTTCTCGGGACGCGCTTTCAACCGGTGCGTCGCGTCATCCATTCGAACCCCAGTCTTTTTATCAACATCGGGTTGTGTTGAGGTGCAGTCTCATTTTTTCATGCTCTGGGTGGCGCAGGGTTATTGAGGATTTGTTTGGCAACCGACAAATCGAAGATCTTTGGCTGCCCTTTTTCTGTGTGACCACAGATATCACGGCCAGGTATGCATGAAAGACCGCTTTGTAGTCTCGGGAGCCGCGGGTGGGCCTCGTGCTCACTTGGTTCGATCTTGCTGGTGTGGGCAGCAAGAAAAAGGTACATAGCTACGGTTCGCTATGGCGCTATGTGCGCGCTTCCATGTCGCTGAGCGGATACCTACCTCCTCTCTGCGATCCGGAGGATGGCCACATGCTCCTTGATGGCGGTAAGATTTGGTGCCAAAACCCTGTCTTTCGCTCAACCAACTCCTTCTCCTTTTCTTTTCGCTTGATTCGTGCTGAAGCACGACCGGCCTTTTGTCCTGTGCTTTCTTGTGCAGGCTATGTCGACGTTTTGCCCATTGAGGTTATGCGCCAGCACGGCGCCACTTATATGTTTGCCGTGGACGGTATGTTGAGTTGATACCGGAGCAGGCTCGCTTCGTGGCAAGCCACCGGCGTGTTCAATGTTTACCAGCGCTAACGGCTGCATTGCGGATGTGAACCCTGTGTGCAGTCTCAGCCAAGGACCTCAACGATTATGAGAACTTTGGTGATGAGATCAGTGGGTTTTGGCTGCTATTTCAGCGTCTCAACCCCTTTGTCAGCAAGCCCAAGGTACGTGCGCACTTGTGTGGCGCGGACTCACATGGGCGAGAGAACAGACGGACATGAAAAAAAAAAAAAAGAAGAAACAAAGCCGGTTTCAATTCTTTGAAGCAGCACAAAAGTTGTTCGCTCATGGGCACACTGTCGAATGAACATGAATGGTGGCGTAGATCCCTCACATGGAAGACATTGCCTCCAAGTTGGCCTTTATTGCTAGCGACAACTATCTCAACGAGGTTGCTTCGACTTACTGCGACCTTGATACGTTTTTTTTTTTTTTTTTTTTTTTTTTTTGTGTGGTTCTGATGCTCATGGCACATGCGCTGGTTTTCGTAGCTCGAACGTCACAATGAGCGTGGTTTGCACGTGATTCGGCCTGAGGTTGGAGACTTTGGCGTTCTGGAATGGGACAAGCACGAGAGCATCGAAGCGCTAGGATACCAGGCTTCCAAGTCCAGCATCGTGGTGTTTGAGCAGGAATGGATGGAATTAAAGGTGCGTCCATCGTGATGGCCCATGGCTTTGACCTACTTGCTTGAAATCTAAGTCACCTGTGTGGTGTGTCGCAACAGAATGCCAATTTGACAGCGCATTCGACGGCCGCGCCGTTGTCGCCTCGTCGCGGCGCCCGCTTCAACAGCCTCTCCGACTTTGGACCTCCGTAAGTCGTCAGGCTGACAACCCGATGGGTTGGGCATCTTTTTCCATTCTTAAAACAAGGCCACAGTCTTGGCGTAGTGATCGGTTGGCCTCGTAAGAGAGTCATGGAATGCTTGAACTCATGCACATGCTTCGGGCATTGTAGATTGGCCTTCCGCACGTCCATCGATCAGAGCATGTTGACCAAGCTGCTGTCACGCGAGTAGGCGGCACGTGCAGTTCACGTTTGCACAAAGGGGCAGAGGTGACAGCCATTTCTGATTCCTTGAGGATGATGCGTCTTGCAAGGCGCAGTGAGGAAGGGTTCAGCTCTTGCCGCGGACCCGACCCATCGCAGAGAAAACTATCATTTCCATCGCATGTGAAACGGTTGCTGTTGTTGGCTAGTTGTTGTGAATGGGCGCTTTGAATGCATAGCCCACGGCGTTTCATGTGTTATCGAGTTGTTGAATCGATGCCAAAAAGGAGAGCGCTTCCAGAGCCTGGCTTGGCATGGCATCTTCGAGAGCCGCAAGGCAGCTTAAGACATGAGTAGGATGTGTGTCAATAAGCGGGCGCACACACACGAGGCCACTTCGGCCGATGTAGGCCAGACCATACACAGGGGTGGTTGACGGCCCTTTTCGGCGGCTAGCTGGCACTTGCGCAAAGCAGTCAGCCCAGAGGGTTGGGTGGGTATGGCCAACAGCCAACAGCTGCGCTAGCATGAGGGGCGAGCCTGGTCGAGCCACAGGTTGCAAAAGGGGCCACAACTCAGGGGTCGGGGTCGTGAATATGATGGCGATGTGCACGCGATGCAATAAAGTTTCCAGCTCGAACTGAGATGGAACCAGGTGAATCCGTGGGGCGACAAACCAGCCATAAATGGCGTAGCGAATGGTGCCGCTTGAGTGAACGGGTTCAACAGCATGGGCCCAAGGCACGGCAAAGGTCAACAGCTGGTTGCAAACAGGCAAGTAGTGGGTTGATTGTGCAGCATGAAAGTCGGATCGCGACTCATCATAATGACAAGCAGCCGAGGCGGGCTGGTCGCAGCAACACGCCACAAAGCGCCCGCCATCCTCGGGCTGGAGAGGACGGTCAGGTAGATGGAGCACGAGGGCTCGATTTCGCACTAGAGGGCTTTCCTCGGATAAGAGGTCAAGGTGAGGATCGAGGAAGCACCCCTGCGTGTACATGGACACATTCAGCATCAGACGTTCATTGGCCGAAGCGGGAGGTACGCGAGTCAGTAGCTCAGCTCGGATCTGATAAATGAGATCATCCCATTCCGCTTGTACACGAGAGTCGAGGCGATAAAAACACATGGCCTGGTTCCCCGGACGCGTTTCCTCAAGTTGCCATGCCTCCGGCGGTAGGCGCTTCAGCTCGCGCCGCACGCGGCGCAGCAGGCGCGGGGACAGCGCCTCTGGGATCACGTCCATTTGAAAGATGTGTGTGTGTGTGTGTGTGCGAACTGTCAAGTGTTGTGATGAAAAATTTACACGCTTCATAGCAAATCAAACCCAGTGTGTTTGCGTTTGCGTGTGTGTTTGTGTGTGAACATTAGGGAGGGCTAGGCACGCAAGTTCGAGGGGTTGCTCAGGAAAGGAAAAGAGTTGTGATGGCGCAGGTGTGTCAATTATCTATTGCAAATGGCAATGGTTCTAGGGAATCATCGGCTCTGGATTTCGCTGGGGTGGACTCTGAGAGGAGCCTCGGGCGCCTTGGCGGCCACTTCGCCCGCGCTGACCACGACTTCCGCGTTGGCCTCGGCTTCCTCGTTGACCGCGCGAGCGCCCGGCAAACCTATTTGAACACATGCATTGGAGTCAGTCAGTCAGTCAGTCAGTCAGGCAGCCAGTCAGTCAGTCAAGCAGCCAGTCAGTCAGGCGGGCAGCCAGTCAGTCAGGCAGGCAGCCAGCCAGTCACCTGGCGCGCCAGCTGATGACCAAACGCCCATGTTTGTCAACGTACCCTCGCCGAGCGCGGCCGCCTCGTCCAAAGCTAAGGGTTTGAGGAATTCTACCCCAATCAGCCACGCGTGCCATGCGTGGCACGTCAAGTGTTGGCATGAGAGGCAACATGACAAGGAAAAGAAACACGACAAAACAAAGAGCAGCGATGCGATGGGGAAGCGCCGCTCTGGTGGCCTTACCGACGGACGAGGCTCTCCAGAGCTTCATCAACACCATCGAGGTCCTGGTCCATGCCGTCTGATGCCTGCACAGCGGGTGGATTTGGGGCTTGTTGACGAGGGGGTTTTCCAGCCCGCGCTGGGCTTTGGGCACTCAGCTTCATTTTGCCAACCATATCAGCAAAAGGAAAGCTGGGCGGGTAGTGGTGAGCTTGAATCAAGTGCTCACGCCGCTCGTTGCGACTGGCCATCTTTGTAGTGCACGTCACGACAAAGCAGCGATACTAGATCGAGGTCCACCACACAGGTTACATCAGCGCGCAAAGTGCACACCAGCAAAACCAAGTAGCTTTCAAAGTGGAGCGGAACCCAAATTGGACGATGTGCTGTACCATGGGTTGTCGTTGTTTCTGCAGGTCGAAAAAGGGATCGTGCCATTCAGACTGGTGCAGATCAAGAAAATGTGCCTACCATCCCGAGGAAAGGCCAGGGAACCAACCGAGCATGCTGGGATGAGTTTGGATCGGGCGCCGAAAGTTAAAAGCCCAAGCAGTGAGGCGTAGCCTTGTATTTATAGATGCCCATGAAACTTACCGTGGTGAAAGCACGCCCACACTCGTGACATCGGTGCTGGTGCATGGCGGCGTAGTGTGCCTCGCTCTCTGCCAGACTGCCATGTGGCATACAAGTCAAAGCATGAGTGGAGACAAACAAGGCAAAAATAAATAAACACACACGAAAAGAAAAGCACGCATCAAAACAAACCAACAACAACAACAACAACAAAAAAAAAGAACAGAAAAGGGCGGCGTGGAGAACTCGCAGGGCAACGCCACGACTGCATCAGTGCTAGGATGGCCTGCATCACCGACCTGGCAAATTCGGCGCGACACTCGCCGTGGGCACAGCTGTATGCTCGCTCCCTGCGTCAATGACTATGAGTGAGTCTTGGATGGGGACGACCTGCAAGCGTGGTGCGCGTAGGCGAGGCACGCACCGTCGAACGGCCAAGTCTGCAAGATAGCTTGTGGTCGACTCCCAGAGTAGTACGTGTCGAAGGGCATCCCCGGCCTGACGTCCATTGGCAAAAGGGGGGCCAGTGCAATGCTCTGTGAGTGTGCAGACGACTCTCGTTTGGTGCAATGGCACTCGCGCGCTAGACGAAAGCGGGCGTGGGCGACCTACGGCAAAGCGTGGATGGCGTCCATCATAGCGCAGTCTTGCATCTGCCTGCGGCAGCCAATCGTGTTCAAGCTCGACTGCTGCCATCTTGGCATCAATCTCCAGGCTC